GGAACTTTAAGGTGGGGCAGACTTCAACACCAGCAGGGGATTTCTGGGAGTTGAAGTTTCAAGGATGAGAAGCACTGCCGTACTAGCCCTGAGTTGGTGCATGAAATATATTAATTTGAATGCTGGTATTAGCCAGCTTCAACAGGGAGTGGCACTCTTGCCTCCCAATCAGGAGGCTGTGAGTTCAATCCTAAGTAGAGGCAGCTATTTCTTTCTCTGGGCACAATGAGAATATAGCTGCTGAATGTAACTCCGCATTGGCAACAGGAAAAGCATCTGGCCAGTAAACACTCAGCTCCATTCGGTTGCCCAGATTCCACCCCGCAAGGGATTATGGTTTCATTAAAAGATTATTGTGGTGGTGATTAGCAAACTCTCTGTCTACAAATAGGCTGGGTTCTGCCACTATGAGCATCTCCTAGACTGTTGATGGCCTCTTTCCTTACTTTTGGCTTCAGGCCCTGAATGAGAACCCCAACCTTTCCTTTGTGCGTCCCCGTTGGATCTACAACTGCAATGACCGGCAGAAGATGATCCCCCACCAGCCGTACGTCGTGGTGCCGAGAGTGTAGGAGAAGTCCTGCTGGAGTTTGTATATAATGTATATTCGTCTCTTTTGGGGGGGAAGACCCTTCACCTCCTGGCTAGTTGAAACAGGGCAACTCCTGTTGGGAGAAACTGCCTTCCTTGGGAGCCTTCCAACCTTGGGGGTGGTTTGGATGGTCTTCGGTTGAGTTTTTTTTTTCTTCCCCTACCGTTCCACCAGGAAGCCGGTCCGCTTTTGGAAAACAATGCTTGCTGCGGGCTGCTCTGGGACAGCGCTAGGATCCTCTTATCTTCCAGGAGGGAGGAAGGGTCTCCCTCAAAATTAGAGCCCAGGAGTTCAACAAAGGCAAAAAGTTAAATGTACAGAGACAAATTCACAGGCCTTTGTCATTTCTTGCCCTTCTCACAACTCACTTAGCATTGGTAGTCCCTTTTCTCTTCTTTATCTTATGGGGATGCATTATGGCTGAGCATCTTTGCCTCTCCCTACGGAAATCTCTTTCCTACGTAGCGGCAAACTATTGTTTTCCTAGCAAGGAAGTTTGGGGTTTCACAAAAGAAGGAAAAAACTGTCCCATTTTTTTTCACCCGGGGTGGTTCGTTTCACGGTAGTACAGATGGGGCTTGTCCCCATCATTGGGGTGTAGGTACCCCAATCCCCATCATTAGGGTGTAGGTACCCCAATCCCCATCATTGGGGTGTAGGTCTCAAGTTGATTGTACCATCTGCAGACCAAGCCAACCTCGTTTTTTAAAATGAAGAGATTGACAAATCACATTCATGCCTTCCATGGGCACATTTTTCAGAAAAAGGGGCGGGGGAACCCATCCAGGAAAAAATGGCAACCAATAACCAATCCTGGCTTGTGTTGACAAATGCCCTTTTCTGATTTGAAGTGTTACCTACGGGCTCCGTCAGCTAAGTCAATACTTTCTCTGACCAATTATTCTAAGAGGAGGGTGTTTGGCGTAGATCAGGGGTCTCCAACCTTGGCAACATTAAGCCTGGAGGACTTCAACTCCCAGAATTCCCCAGCCAGCTGAATGTAACTCCGCATTGGCAACAGGAAAGGCATCTGGCCAGTAAACACTCAGCTCCATTCGGCTGGGGAATTCTGGGAGTTGAAGTCCTCCAGGCTTAAAGTTGCCAAGGTTGGAGAGCCCTGGCCTAGACTGTAGCAAAGTTCAGAACAGAAGTATTAGAAGAAACCACGATTGCTTAAATTAAACCATTTTTTGGGTAGGCTCTTGTGGCTGAAGTCTTCCTTTCATTTTCAATGAATTTTTTCCGAGTTCCTCTGTAGGACTATAAGAAACGAGAGTCAATTTCATGATGGAACTGTTCATTTCTGCAGAGCAACGTCAGTTTCACTATGTTTTTGCTGCCCCCCCCCCCCCCGCTTCTTCGGAGGGGGAAAAAATATTGGACCATTTGTAGATGTTCTTTTCGGAGTAGTGTTTCTTAACCTCGGCAACTTTAAAAAGGAGCGAACTTCAATTCCCAGAATTCCCCAGACAATTGGGGAACTCTGGGAGTTGAAGTCCATGCCTTTTAAAGCTCTCAAGGTTAAGTCTATTTCCGAATGACATCCCGTCCCCCCAAAATTCGCGTTCCTTCCCACTTTTCAGTTGCTTGTAAACTGGGCTGGGAGGTCTTGAATAATCTACCTCATTTTTACAGCTGATTTCTTATTTCCCAGTTCTATATTTTGCAATCAAACCAGCCATTTCTGCTCTGGGTTCTTACTTACTTCCTTCCAGAGGAAAAAAAAAAGTTAAATCAGTTGTGGGAGTATTTCGCTTGTGATGGGGGCATTGCAGAATTAGAGGTCCATCTCTCGTTGTGACATCCATCAATTGCAGTTTATTAATTATTCCGAGGCAGATGATTTTTTTTTTAATAAAGATTCCATGATGAAAGCCAGAGATTTTTCCCTGGAGCCTGAATTTTTGTTTTATGTGCTGGAACTGTCAACCATAGAATTAGGAGTGAGATATTTTAGGGAGTTCTCCTTCCTACCACCACTTCTTTTTTTTTTAAAAAAAAATCAAGACGTAGAATAATTTTGGCTGTACTTTCATCCCTTCTCATCCTTTATCCCGGCAATTTCAGAACTTGTCTGGTTAAGGAGCGGCTAAAATATTAACCAATGTTCCATTCTGGATGGAGCTTGCTCGTTTTCCCCCCCCCCAACTTGAAGGGATTTCCTTGGTACAGATGATCCTGTCTTCCCAACAAAGGACACTGCCTTTTATGGACTTCAGTTCCCAGAATTCCCTAGCCATTTTTCATAGTTATAGAGAATTCTGGGAATGAAAATGTGCACGTCTCGAAGGGGTCAGGATTGGAAGAGGTCATTTTAGAGCATATTCCTGGTCTCGGGAGGGCATGGAATATTTGCAAAGGGAGGCTTGTGTCAAGAAATTAGCTCTTCAGAGCACATTAAAAGAAGAGCACAAAAGGAATTTGTGTGTGTCTCTTTTAAGGATGCTAAATTGTAAAGAGAAAGGCGTAGCTGTGGCAGCTAAAGTAGCTGAATGTTTTACTATTGTACAGTCCACATTTCACAAAGGGCTTGCTTGTTTTCTAGAAATTTACACCTCGGTTTAGCCGTTGTTCTGAGGTTTCCAGCGCGAAAAACCTCACGGGATGTATTCTTGTTCTCTTTTCCTATATCATGTTATGGTTTTAATAAAACGAGATGCAAGTCTCCAAGCGATCTCTTTTTAAAGACCTTATCGACACTGGCAGGGAAAAGATAATATTCCTCTGCGACCTCAAGCGGGACTCCTGTTCCCTCCGTGAGAAGATAAAGCTTTTAAATGTTTTACAAGATTCTAGTGCTTCAGATGACGGGTGGGAGGCGGGGGGGGGGAGGGCAGTTCTTCCAACGCCTTCGAATTATTCTTTCGTGAAGCAACGAAAACAAAACGGGCGGAAAAGTTTGAAAGTTAAAATACTGCACAGTAAAATCTGTGTAACTGTACTTTCTCTCAGAGAATTCCCCAGCCGGCAAAGCTGAATTCTGGGAGTTGAAATCCTCCAGGCTTAAAAATTGCCAAGGCTGGAGACTCCCTGAGCTAGCTGGACCCTCCCTCTCTGACTGACTGACCTTAACCACCACCCCCAACCTTTTTCCCTCACACGCACCAAGCATACCTTAATTCCAAAAGGGCGTTTTGCTTTTATGTTTTATTTTATTTCAAGAAAAATAAGACAAAAACTCCAGCCTCTAATGGAGCTTTACTTTTTTTTTAGTATCGGCTACAGAGTAGGAACCAATCACACATACTTCCACCTGCCTTTCACCCAAATCTGAATTATAGGGGAGTCAAGTTGGTGCTAGTTTATGGGAAAGTGGAAAGATGCATGGCAGGTAGTCCTCGGCTTACAACAGTTCATTTTGTGACCGTTACAACAGCAACTTTGGAGAAAATAACACCCGGCCGTTTTCACCCTTACAAACAGTGGCAGCATCCCCACGGTCTCATGATCAGAATTCAAACGCTTGGCAACTGACTCATATTTATGACGGCGGCAGAGTACCAGGGTCATGTGATTATCTTCCGACCAACAGTCAACGGGGAAGCCAAATTCACTTAACAACCGTGCTACTAACGTAACAACGGCAGTGATTCACTCAACGGCATTGGCAAGAAAGATTGTGAAATGGAGCAAACTCACTTAAATGTCTCGCTTAGCAACTGAACCTTTGGGCTCAATGGTGTTCGTAAGTCGAGGACTACCTGTATTAGGTTTTACTAGCTAGTGAGAAAAAAAATGCGTGTATTAATTGTGGAGAGTAGTGAGAAGCGGACTAGAAGAGCACGGAGGAGAAACAGATGGAGAGAAAAATCCGAGAGGGAACTTAATATTTCAATAATGAGGGCAACATGGAAACTTTTGGTGTCTTTAGGCATGTGGTACAAATAAACCAAACACACAGGAGTAAACAAGGAAGCAGGCTACAAAATTGTGTGTACTACATGGTGAAAATAAAATTATACAGCCTTTTTTTAGCCCGAGAAATTCATGTGTAAAATCTGCTTTCTATGTGAGCTACTGATGCACTTGCTTCACCCTTAACGCACTACCCACATTAATCCTGAAGTGCCCTGAGGCATCTTTTGATGCCGTGTGTAAACCTGGAGGGTGATGTGAATTTGTCAAATAATTTTTCTGCTTCTACAACCCTTTAAAACATAAATGTTGCCTTCTCTTTCCTGGAATTTGTGTCTTTTAAGCCATCCCACTGGTGGATTTCCACCAATCGCCACGTTGTCAGACACAGCTTTCGTTTTATAAAAAAATAATAATAATAATCAAGAGATTTTCTTCTTAAAAGTTGACGCAGCTCATGTCCAATACGATGCGCTCAGTTCATGCATATTAAACCTCCAATTTCCATGGCCAAAGGTTGACTGGTCAAGGAGGCTGCAACAGAGCCCCTCTGTATAATGCACAGTGAAGATATAAATTTTATAGACCCTTGGATTACAGGTATGCGGAGTTCCACATTCTGACAGAAGCATGCACCAGTTGAGCATAAAACAAAACTATACAGGGCCACAGACAGAGGTGCCTCCTTGTGTGCGAAACACATAAACAGATTCTGCTCTGCTGACAGTGAGGATCGGTGCACTTCTTGAAATGGGATTAGTGGGGGAATCTCAACGGTGGTTTTCGTTTCGTTGCCACGCAAATGATGTCGACTATGGGGGTGATCGGGATTGTGTTTGGCGAGAACCGGAAAAGTTAAAACTGAAGCAAAACAAATTGCAAAGGTGCAGAAGTCTGCATAACTTAAACAAGGTTGTAGAATAGGCAGAAACAAAATTACCAGAGCAGTTTTCAGCACGGTGCGAACAACTCGGCCTCTGAAAGGGAGCCTGTCATGTGGCGTTTTGCCATCAAAGATGAGAACAGAGAAGTTATGGGTTGCTGGAGGTTACGGTGCAACGCTGACCTCCACCATAACTTTCCATTATTTACAACCATCCTGCAGCTGCCAGGTTTTCAAATTATTCCAAGTTTCTTCCTGCGCCCTCGCACAGCCCAGCGGTTCCAGCTTAAGGCCTGTCTCCACTGCTGTGGCTTTTGTCCTGGGTTACGCCATCGCCTGCTTCTCCATCCTCGTGCACCCGCTGGTGAAGGGTGAGGTTGCGCAGCTGCCGGAAACTCTTGCTGCACCGCATGCACGGGTAAGGCCGCCCGGCGGCGGTGGCCGCGTGGATCTGCTGATGAGCAGCCAGTTTGGAAGGGTAGCAAAAGCTCTTCCCGCAGCGGCTGCAGGGGTACGGCCGCTGGCCCGTGTGCGTACGGCGGTGGGCGGCCAGCTTGGAAGGGTAGCAGAAGCTCTTGGGGCAATCGGCACATTTGTACGGGCGCTCCGGCGTGTGGATCCACTGGTGGGCGGCCAGCTTGGAGCGGTGCCCAAAGCGCTTGGGGCACAAGGAGCAGGGGAAGGGGCGCTCCCCAGTGTGCGTACGTCGGTGGGCAGCCAACTTGGATGGGTAACTAAAACTCTTGGGACAGTCGGGGCATTTATAGGGCCGCTCGGCGCAATGGGTCCACTGGTGGGTAGCCAGTTTGGAGCGGTACACGAAGCGCTTGCCACAGTCTTTGCATTGATAGGGACGATCGGAAGGCAGGACGGCGGGAGGCCGCCGGCGCCGGGGACGGGGTGGCTTGGGAGTCTCCGTGGCGGGTGGGGAAGACAGAGCCGAGGGCGAAGGTGTCTTGGTGTTCTCTTTCAAGGCTTGAGAATCTGGAAGGAAGGGAGAATTAAAAAAAAAAAATACAGGATACTTCACCAAGCGTCCCATTTTCCTGCCTTAAGTTTGTTCAGTTGTTTGTGTTCTGACCTAGGCAGTGGTGGGATTCAAATAATTTAACAACCGGTCCTCTTCCCTAATGACCAGCTGGGTAGGTGTGGCTTGGTGGTCTTGTGACTGGGTGGGTGTGGCCAACTCAATGTCACTCATGTCGATGGGTGTTTTGCCTTAGCTGTTACAACGGAATAAGGGTGAACCCCGCGGAGATCCGGACCCTCCCCTCTCTCCAGGCCTTCCGGAAAGCCGTCAAAACCTGGCTGTGCCGGCAGGCCTGGGGT